GTTGTTTCTGGAGGATGTGGAACTGATGGCTTCCTCTTCCGCAGTGGCATGCATCGCTGCATCCACCGCCTCCGCCACATCGACAACGAGGCAGGACGTAGACTCTCTGCTTGTTACAACAGGCACATCGGTCCTTGTAACCCTCGTACTCCTTCGGACCCGAGAAGGGACAACGCCATACCTCAAGCTTTTAGCTGGCGGACCCAAAAGCCAGTTGTGCCAACGCAATGATTCCTGCCAGATCGAATCTGACCTAGGTCGGGCGCACTCCTCCCGGGAGCGGCGAAGGGCCATGCGGACGACCATGGCCGCCTCCTCCCTAATGGGATGACACCCTAGTCGACTGACCGAGAGTGGTCAGAGTCAGATCTGCTATCCGCCATGTCGAACAAGGCCAGAGATTGCTGTACGGGAGCTTGGGGCAGAGTAGAGTGGAGTGGCTAGGGTTTGGTCCGGGGAGTGGATGGGACGAATATATGTGGGGTCGGGGTGGGCTAATATGAGCCTGATCCGACGTGGCGGACACGTCCGGGCACACTCAGACCACCCCATATCCACCCTAGATTTGGGTTGGATATGATGGGTGCCGGTTTGCCCGAGCATTTCGGGCCGATACAAGGGGTCCGTCTGAGTCATTTTCTTGACCAGTTAGTGATCGGGCCATCTGCCCGGGAGTATAGGGGGTGTTGGGGCATCTCTAATAATCAAATTCTTTGATTCAAATTCAAAGTTTTGGGGACCTTTAAAAAAGTGGATTAAGTTGACCCCCTCAAATTCATCATTGTTTACATGTTACGCTAAATAATTGCATATATTGGTACACTGTTAGAGGCATTCATTTGTAGACATAATTTATAATCTGAGTTATGTGTAAATAGAAGTGTGATGTCATTTAGAGTATTGCCCCTACCTTGCGAGGAATAAAAAAGAGAGGCAAAAAAAGCCCAAGAAAAAGAGGTCAAAAGTGTCAAAAAAGAGTGAGAAAATAAAGAGAGAGGGGGCACACTACTATCATTTATACACACTTGTGCTTCAAAGTAGCACATGTTTTTCATATATACATATCATTATCATACTAGTGAGGACCTATTACATTATAGAACGTGGCTTGTATATTTCGATGACGAGCATACTCAATACGCGCGAGGTCTTCATGAGCAAGCAAGTTGGATGCAAGCTCTATTTTAGTTCATTTGGGGAGCTTTCATACATTCATAGTTCTAGTGCATTTGTTGCATGGCAATCGCTACTCCTGACATTAATATCGACTGAAAGGTCCCTCCGTTTCCTATTGGTCAGTTGCTTTAGTGTGATACTTTCTTAATTTTTGTCTTCTTATAATTTCTTACCATCATTCTAAAATGTTAAAGGGTCTTAGTTTGCGCTCAAGTATTGCGTTGGGGTTTAGTAGTTGGTTCGAGGTGAGTGTAGCCTCTATGCTTGCTCATGCGTGCGGATCCTCACGATTTAACTGGTTTTATATGACTTAGTGTGCTATGCTCTCGATGATATAGGGGGTGTTGGTTTTATATGAGTAAATCAGTGTGGAGCTGCTTTCTTTAGCATCTTTATTCTTGAAAGAGAATGATTGTTTATCTATATGCTCATGTATCATTGTTTTAGTGTCAAATTCATAGATTATTGCCACGAATCATTTTATCTTGAGTTCACAAACACCTTACATCATTTGATCAAGATTATGCTAGGTATCATTTCACTTAAAAAAATATCTTTGTTTTATCATATACCTACTCGAGGATCAGTAGGATTAGGCTTGGGGCTGTTGTTACGTCTCAAACGTGTCTATAATTTTTAGTGTTTCATTCTATTATATTGTCACTTTGAACACTTTTAATATCAATTTATATATTTTTTGGACTAACATATTAATTCATAGTCTAGAGCCGGTTGTTGTTTTCTCCTGGTTTTTTACTTTTCAAAAATATATATCTATGTGGTAAAAGATACTTGGGGATTTAATATGGTTTTTTTGACGACACGAGGGGTACAAAACGTACGGGAGGCAGATGAGAGGAGCCACTGGGGCTCCACAGGGTCACCTGACGCGGCTAGGGGGTGCCCCGCGTGGGCCCCCTTGCTACTTCTGATAGACGTTGAGATTTCCTTGAAGAGGAAGAGTGATGTAGTATAGTAGTAGATAATATTTCTCTCAATTAAGAACTAAGCTTTATTGAACCAGTAGGAGACACCATACAAATACTATAAGCAGTACATGCACACACACAAAGCAAATACTTGCACCCAACGCGGGCAAGAGGGTTGTCAATCCCCTTATACTCCTTAATTGCAAGGATTAAATCTGATAGTGGTAGATAGATAAAAAAGGAAAATAAAAGTAAATAAATTGCAACAGGTATTTTTAGGATTTTAGTAAATATAAACACTACAAAATTTGCTCCATTCTGTGAGGTTTAACTTGTGTCACGTAAAACCATTTTTTGTCATGGAAAATGTACTGGTGATGTTTTCCGGCCGTCACCCCCACCGTCATCGAAGTGCCATCATAAAAAGTAAAATCTTGATGGTACCACTCCCCCTGTCACGCAAGATCGCATCTTAGGTGACAAATAAAAATTCGTCGCCGAAGCTATCTTCTGCTACGGCCCAAAAATGTCACTAGAACTGCCGTCATATATGACCTACTCGTCCCTCACCGTTGTTTTCGGTGATAGTACATTCGAGACGAGCAACCGACCAACCATGTTTGACCAGGCAACGTTTCTGACATACAAGACCATAATATGTTAATGTGGCACCTTATAGCTGGGTTTGTTCAAGGTTTTATCACCGATGGTGCCTGTTGGTAATAAGTAGGGCGTCAGTTTTGATCAGTCAACGCCGCTAACTTATGGGCCCAAACATTGCTGACGTGGCTTCTTACATGTGGGACTAGATGTGGGTGACGTGGCTGCTTACATGTGGGTC